CAGCGTTGTTGTAAGTCTAATGCACTGTTAGTGTAATTCTCATTCACTCTGTGGTGGAGGCCATGTCAGCATTAAAAAATTGGGCACAGAACCAAATTAAAATGAGATCGGAAAAGCTGTGCTCTAAGAATCCTGAAATGCTGTTAGAAAGCTAAGTGCATTAAATGTCGTGCTTTTCACTTTCTATCCCAAATGTTTCCTTATTTCCTACCACGCATATCTGCTCAGAGATACTATTTCCATGATTTATATATGGTTTATTTTTATTGACACTTCAGCAGAGCTCCTTGCTGAAATAAATAAGATAATAAAAAATTATTGCCACGTTTATCACAGGTGTAAGTGTAAAACCTCAGTCATGACTTATTTCTTGCTACCTGAAAAAGCCAAACTGATGCTTTCTCATTCGCAGAGGTTATTTGCATAGTGTTCGAAGTTCTCTGTCTATGTGGTTTTCTTCAGATCTCTGTAGGGCCAAGAAGAGGTTAAAGTAATTCCTCCTGGTTTTTAATGTCATCGTTGTCTTGCTGGAGTGAAGCAGACAAAGTCAAATGTTATGGTCTCATGGTTTTACTTTAGTTAAATGACAATCTTCACAACGTCTTCCAGACTTCCACAAATCCTTACTACTAAAATGTTAATGCAGTAATGCAGTGAAAGTGATCTGAATTTAAGGATTCAGTGTAGCATCTGCAGACCACAGCTCAGAAACCATTCAGCTGGACAGTCCAGACACAATATAATACCGGTATCAGCACCCTAATTCAGCTTTCAGCTAAATGATGCCTCTAAAAAGAGCAGTGATATTTCATCGCAAATGGCCCATAATGGCCCATTTTTCCCATCTTGAAGGGATCGATGTCCATAGTCAACACAGCAATTCACCATGCCATGAAAACAGTGAAAAGGAGAAATAAGCCTCAGGTTAAAGGATGTTTTGGTGGGTTACACTTGAACCTATGCACCAGAGGAAGAAACTGGTGTTAAAGAGCAGAAACAGACCACAGAGAAAGGAAGATGCTGATTCCAAGGATGACCTGAATGAGCAGGATGAATGCTATCCAAGGAAGCAAAGTCCCGTACCTAGCATTTGAGATGAGCTATGTTTCCTTGTCAATGAAATTTATTGTTCCTGCTCTTCAGAAATCCTCATCATCAGAAGTCCTCAAATAAAAGCTATCTTACTAAAATAATTTATTAGAAAACCCTTGCAGGCTCCCCCACTACAAGCACTCTATTAAGCAAATGAAATAGAGGCCTTCAGGCTCTCTCCCTTTTTATTCTTCCTTGTGATTAACGGCATAATAAAAAGAGAGCAAGTGGGTATAAATTTTATATAGGCCCATCTGAATGGCAAACCATTATAACTTCAACAATAAACAAGTCCCACATTTCTGTAGAATGTTTAAATGTAGCATGCATATGCACTGCGACTCTTCCAACTCCACTGTTTCCTCTTAAGTCAACAAGCTTCCAGGAGAACTGGACACCCCCAGCTCCCAGCTTGTATGTGTATACTGCTGCTTGCAGCTCCCTACACAGGACTCGGTCCCTGTTGTTTTTCATTTGCAGGCTTCAGCATTCTCAGGGATCAAAATTAAAAGCAGCACTATAAACAAAGCTTCAGCCAGAGAATTTTGTTCCTAGATCTTGCTGCAAAACAGGGCTGCGTTTGGTTACTGGTATCATTTCTGCTCCTGTAATCTGGTTCAATTTTTCTAGAAATGAGGACAGCAAACAGAACATTAGCAAAGCTTAATACACTTACAGTTCTGGCAGAACAGAAGGCTACTTAAGAAAGCCTAATAAATGCAGGTACAGAGGCTTCCACATGCCCAAAGTCCAAAGCTTAAAGCAGACATCTTTCACAATGTGTCTGCCAGCAAACATGCTTGCAATAAAAAGAAAACTATCACCAATTGCATTCTGGAGCCATATATTTATAAGGGCACAGTGAAGTTCATTTCATCCTATCCACATAAGAACTCTATCCTGCCCAGTGACTTAATAACATAGAATGGACTCTGTTCACAAGGGTTACATTTACCATGGGCAGTATTATGGGAATGCATTGACTTTTCTTCCTTTTCTATGAAACATTTATGTTACATACCTATTAATTAATCATTGTCAGATTCCAAATAGGTAAGACTGAATCCTTTGCAAATGCAGACCTCAATAGTGATTTTACAGTAACTGACTGAATCCAGCAATAAATTCTGGAGAGAGAAGTCACTGACCTTTAGAATAAAATCCAACATGTCTACGTCTCTTGAATTCCATTCTGAGGTTGTCTGCAGCAGGTGGCCTAAGGCTACTACCGTCTAACAGCAGCTGAACATGGAAGCCCACTCGTATCAACACTCTTGGTTGTATTTCACAGTCAAGACAACAAAGCTACTCTAGCCAGCACTATAAATGCTGGATTCTTTCTTCCCTTTTCACTAAAGCTTGTCTTTTCTTTTATGCTGTTGAAGCTGCAAATCAATTGCAGAAATAATGCCTCCTTGTACATAACAGCTTATGGAAAGTTAGTAGAATGGCAACGTTTCATTTAGCTGATGAGCAACATCCGTCTCTATTGCAAACAAAGATTAGAATGTAGGAGACAAACTGGAAATAAGTATAAATAACATTTATCCAGAAGTTCTCCTTCAAAACAGAAGCAACTTTTCCTTGTTGTCATTATAGTCTGCATGCAGGCTGCTGACCCATGCTAACCATTTCATTAAAAGAAACTTGTGGTCTGAAAATATGCCAAGTCACCTTCTCACTCTGCTTCAGAGACCTTGGCTTTTATGCTTAGAGTCGCATGTATAGCTCACCCATTATAATTTCATTAAGGCTGCAGAATCTTGTTATCAATTCCTCATTTAATGCAATTTACAGAAAAACATCAGGCTAAAATAAAGAGAAGAACTTTTTTCTCTTTTCTTTTTATTGGTAACTTTCCAATTAGGGTTCACAGTTCAACTTTAGCTGTTTGACTGAATGCTTGTTCATCTGTAACAGATCAGTCTGTTTATGAGCATATCCCCACTGGGGAAAGAGCTTCCCAGAAAGGCATTGCTGGAAACAGTCATTCATAGAAATGACTCAAAAAGGTCGTTTTGGCTAAATACCATCTCATAAACTAAATCTGTAATCATCCCACACTACTCCTATATATGGTCTTAGGGACCTTGCCTCCATGAAGCAAAGAGGTATCTTTCCCGTTCTCTCATGGATTTAGCCTGCGGCTCTTAATACAGAGCTTAGAAGCTAACAGCTTTTCAGGGAATCTTCTGATAATTCAGATCCTCTTGGAAAGGGTGTACCTGTCAGGCAAAGGTTAATTTTGTACTTGAAGTGTAGGACAGAGGTAAAGAAGCTAAAGCAAACATAGTAAGTTAAGCTTATTAACACTGTTACCTATAACAGCATTTACAGGGTAGTCTACATTCTGCTAAGACAAATGGTTTTGGTCTAAAGAATAAAGCACAGCTTTGCTTTAGTATATTACAGTTGCTAGCTCCTGATATTTTTTATGGGGTTCACAGAAAACCCAGCTTGTCTTCATATACCTCCTGCAGTCTGTAGAGTCTTTGTCCTAATGATTTGACCTAGGTTGAAGTGCAGGCACAAAAAAAGTAAATTTCTTCCAAGGATAGAATCAAAAATGAGTTTGGAACACAGGAGCCCATGAGGCAAACATCTTTCTCTTACAAAATGACTGAGCACTGGTAGCTCCTATTATCATCCCTTGAAGAACTGTGGATGGTTTCTATGTTTAGCAACAGAGGAAACAAGGCATCTAGCTGCGGATTAAGTCTAGAAAACTATGGCTTGCATCCAGCAGTGTAGGGAGCCAAGGAGCACAGCGCAAAGACAGCCTTGGCTAGAAGCCAGAAGAATTGACTTAGGTTCCTCAGATAAGGTGTTTCTTTCATTGTTTCTGGACAGCTTCCGGATCGAGATACTAACAGATGCTCCAATTCCACCATGCCATGTTACACATTCACGTCACACTTTTTATTTCATGCCTTTTATTTTTTTTTCCAACTGATTCTTCTCTGTGAGGAAGAGAGTACTGACTTCAGTGGTAGGTTGTTCAGTTGAGTGTTTCCAGAGAGGAACCAGCATCTTGGAAACACGAAGGAAGGAAAATGCTTATAAATTCAGGGTGCACTGATATTTGACATTATACATATGCATGCATGTAACATGGTTTTATCTTTTTCCTCTGCTATTGGTAAAAAGGAGAGTTACTTCAAGCAGAGAGAAATAATAGAAACTGTGAGCTTTGGGCATGGTTCCCCTAGTTTTACTGTTGTGAGCTTAAATTTACAAAGCACTTATTGCAAGCACACAAGCACATTGCTCAGCTAGAGATGTTCATACACGGTGTACTGTATTGTACTTTCTCAAATGACACCATGGAAGGGTTTTGATCACTCTGTTCCCAGTATTACTCATTGGAAGAAAAGTATTCTGTCCTGCAAAAGATTTGCTTGAAGGCTCATAAGCAGACCCATGTTTGCTCCTCCTGAACCCAGGGAATTGTTCTCTCCAGCGCTGCTTCTGTGGATTGCTCAGCATTCTGAAATGAAACCTGCTCTATTTGTTGTCTTGCCAAACCTAATTAAAATCAAGGTTAGCAGGTCATCTGCAGGCAGCCTGCTTCCTCTGCCTCCCCTCAGCCAACATAATTCATTAACTAAGTGTCTTTGAAAGCTGAAGGATTAATCTATTATGTAGACAAGCCGTAGTCACTAAGATGCCAAGAACAAGCTTTAAACTGTCTTTTTTTGTTGTGTTTCTTTGCTGGTTGGTGGGGGTTTGGCTAATTTCTGTGTGTGTGTCTCCCTCTTTATCCCCCTGCCCCAGTAGCTAACCCTCCCCCTGACAGGGAGCAAATCCATATGGAAGAATGGCCTTCTGCCTTAACTGATCCTGCCTCACCCTTATTGTGATGCCTTATGTTTTTGTTTCTAACTGTAGCTAATTATATTTTCATAAAGGTTAATTGTTCCAATGAGTTGAAGGAGAGTCAGCAAATACCCATGGGAAAGTAAGTGCTAAATGCATGACTCTTTGGAGAACTACTCATACAAAACACTGTGAACTTCCCAATGTGATTTACACAAAGACACTGTAGCTGCATTGGCTGCAGTAACCTATGCCTGTCTTTGTCTCTTCCCTCGTGCTTCTCTCTTCTTGCCCTGCTCCTCTCCATCTCCCTGTGCTGCTCCTGCATGACTTATCTCTGCTCTCAGTATGCACTGGATATTTTTCTGTCCTTTCTTTTTCTCTCTCTGTTTCTCTTCTTAAAAAACAATCTTCCCTCTCCAGGGCTCTGTACCAAATAACCTGTCTGGAGGTGGGGGGGACGGGGGGACTTCTATCCCACCTTTTGTGTTAGCAGCCAGTTCTCCCTGGGTTGTATTTTTTGCCCTCAAGTTGCACCACAGGAGGTTTAGAATGGGTATCAGGAAAAATTTCTTAACTAAAAGGGTTGTCAAGCACTGGAACAGGCTGCCTAGGGAAATGGGTGAGTCACCATCCCTGGAGGTGTTTAAAAGATGCGTAGAAGTGGCACTTAGGGACACGGTTTAGTGGTGGACTTGGCAATGCTAGTTAACGGTTGGACTCTATGATCTTAAAGGTCTTTTCCAGCCTTAATGATTCTGTGATGTTCCATGCCTAGATCCCAGGTTCTTAGAGTTCCTAATGCATGTGATTATGCTAGATTTCTACTCTTCTTAACAACCCAAAAAAAAAAGCTAAAAAGGAGGGTGAGAGCCATAAGGAAAGTTGTTTCTAACTTCCAGGACATGGAGAAAATCTCAGATGATGTAGGACACATTTCATCTCATTACAGCTGCTCTCTTTTTCCTATTTAGAGGTCAAGAAAATACAATTCTGAATCCAGGAGCTGAGAGAGTTGCCAAGGGAAACTCAATATTCTAAAGGGAAAATTGGTATTACGTTTGCAAAACTGGAAGTTTCTGTAACAGCTAAATGTAAAACAAATGTGACATAAGGAGGAGGAAAGAGGGGGTAGGAAAATGAGGAGATGAAGTAGAAAGTCAAATCAGGGTTTAGCATGAAGTCCTGAAGTCAGCCCTAACCCTTTACAGAATAGAATTTACAAAACATTCCATAGAATACACTTGGGGAGATCTGTGCTACTAGGACTACTAGGACATGGACTGCATGTTGGTTTAGTTTTGTGCAGCATAAATGTGCTTGGTTCTGCTGCTACTGACAGTAAGTAATAATGAGAAGCCATGATGAAATAATACTGTGTGTCACAGACTGAAAGAAGGGGCTATTTCAAGTCAAAGTTCTCAAACTAGGCTGAGCTTCTCAATATACTGAGTACATTTACACACTGTTCCACAGGCAGACATGAGCTCATGTTGTTTATGTTCCAGATTATAAACCTGGCCTAATGCACAGATTAAGCAGCTACATTCAGAGCTGCTGAGCTCGCACCAGTATTCCTCATATGTGATTCTTGTTCTGCAAACATCTCAGGAAATGTTGTCACTGCTCTTTATAGAATTATTATTAGTTTTTTGAGCTCTAAACAGAATAAAATGGATGTTTTACAAAGAGCTGAAAGGATTAAGTCTTACATGATAAGAAACAGGTAATGTTCCTTGTGCAGGCATGTGCCATCCACCTACATACATAGCAAGCTGGCACTGAGCTGTTCCGGGCAGGTATTTGAGAGACATTTGAAAGAAATGGAAAGTATGTATACATATATCCAAAACCTTGAATTCTGCAGTCAGATCATTTGAGCTGTTATTTATAAATGCTGTTTTTTCTCAGTAATGTGGTTACTTGGAGGAGTTTTGCAGTAGCTTTGGGAAAAGTCAGCCTTTCACATCTATACTTTCAACTCTTAAACTGGGGGAGGGTTGTACAAAAAATCCATCTTATTAAAACAAACAAAGCCCATTTGTGTAAAGAAACTGAATGAATTCTCATTACCATCCTGTACACAAACCAAATATGACAAAGGGATTCATACCGTTCAGTCACATTCAAGTGACATTGATTCTGTGGATTGCATGTGATTTCAAGGGCTGTGTTTGCTTCCTTATGGTTTAATGGTAATTTTAGGTAACCTTGTTCCTTCAGCGGTTCCTTTATGTCTAAAGTATTTGCAATACTTGCTAGCAAGATCATCTGATAGATGCTTAAAACCACAGCTTAATTCTGCTAAGACACGGGGCAGCATTAAACAGCAACAGAGTTCACTGGGAAAAAGAAATTAGATTGCAGTTTAGAAAGGGAGCTGCAGAATGGCCTGCTGGGTGAGGAACTCTTTGCAGGGAGATGTGGCTGTACTAGCTTTCCTGAGGGCTGCTGAAGGACTAGGCTGAAATTATGGATACAAGAATCAGCTCCATTCACTTGCCCCATGAGCTGCTCAGGAAAGCATGATGTCCTTTACCAGAGAGAGGTGGAGCAGTCTGGGAATGAAAGATGAATTAATACAAGGATTTCCCCAGGCCAAACGATGGGTTCCCAAGGAAACTCCACCATGTGACCATGTGAGAAGCCTCCTGGGATATACATGGCGTATGCAGTCTAATATCTTCACTGCTGTCGTGGTTTAAACCCAGTCAGGTAATTCGTTCGCTCACTTCCGCCCCTTTTCTTGCCCTCCCCCTGCTCTCGGAGGGACGGAGAGGAGAATCGAAAAGAATGCAACTCCCACGGGTTGAGATAAGAACAGTTTAGTAACTAAGGTATAACACAAATCACTACTGCTACCACCAATGATAATAATGATAAAGGAAATAACAAGGGAAGAGAATACATCATCTCACCACCAGCCGACCAATAACTCGCCCCCCAGGCCCAACTAAGCTCCGACCGATACCTCCTCCAACCCTGCAGTCCCCCAGCCCTTCCGGCTAACTCCCAGTTACCTCCTGGGCATGACGTGCTGTGGTATGGAATACCTCTTTGGTCAGTTTGGGTCAGGTGTCCTGTCTCTGCTTCCTCCTGGCTTCCCCTCCTCCCTGGCAGAGCATGATCACAAAGTCCTTGGCCAAACCAAAACATCGCTTGTTATCAGCTCTGTTCCCGAGCTGAAGGTCAAAACACTGCACTGCACCAGCTACCAAGAAGGGGAAAAATGACTGCTACTGCTGAACCCAGGACAACTGCAAGCCTTGAACATGTGGCCAGCATTGCTCGAACTGCCCCAGCACAGCAGGGGCTGAGATTAGCGGGCACTTCCCAAAGCTGTTTTTCTGCCAAGCCCAATTCCCTGACCCCTTGTGTGAGAAAGCTTCACAGATCAAGGAGGCAGTGTGACTTCTTCAGTGCTAGAAGGATTCACATGAGGGAGAAACAAGCAAACTGTCTTGCCAAAGACAGAGGAGAGAGCATGGAAAGTCTTTTCAGTCTGGGCTTTTGCAAGTTCAGGGAGAAGCTTCCACTGCTCCATTTCCATGAAGCTGCTCGCTGTCAGACTCAGGCCAGCTTCTGAAACTCTGCAGGTTAGCACACTGAGCAACAGAATGATGTTAAGCATCTTGTAAAACTCTTCTCTGAAAGACAAAGAAATGTTTCACTTTCTCCTGTCGCATTGTAACCATATGGTGGGAGAGAAATAAATGTGCTTTGTCACACAAGGAGGTCAGGCTGAATTTTGATGGCGCTGCTCATATTTTGTCCCTAAATCAGACTGAGCATTTGGGAGAGCAGCACAATTTATTACTGAATGAGAGGATATGAAGAACATTTGGTTTAACCTGTCTACCAACAGATGTTTTAAAACGCTCCTGGTAAGCTGTTCCTTTCTGATAGCAGAATACCATCAGAAGTTGGTGCTATGCTGCTCTTCCCAAGATCTAGTTACTGTCGTAGGTCAGAGCAAAGATCAGGCCAAGCTGGGGTCCCTTGATAGAAGACAAGTACCTGATGTTTCAGGTAACCTGTCCCACTGTATGATAGTGCAGCTGTGAAAATCATTCACCCCTGCCCAATCAGATGAGCAGTACACTCTTTTCTGGCCTTAGCCTGAACCCCTGCCACTGGTGTTCATGTGTTTTGGGAGCACCCAGGGCTCTGTTACACATCCCACAGCCATTCTGGCCTGGATCCTCAAAGCCCAGTTGCAAAAAGCACTAAATTCAGCTAAAGATATGGAAATAAGCCTCTTGCACAATATTGCTTTGAGGTCTTTCTCTCACAGCAGTCTTTCAGTAAAACGTGAAGATGGAGCTAACATTTCACCTGAAAAAAGACAAGGTATGAATCTACAGGTCACCCTTACAGGGCTCAGCAGGTGGGATATCAGCACGTCTCTGCAGCAAGCTGAGTTGTGTTTTACCCTTCTCTGCAGAGGAGATGCTGAGCACCCTCTCTCTGCTTCCCGCCCATCCTTCTCAGTAATGCAGTTTAATCCATGGCCACCCTGAAACTAATTGCTTGGCAACACTCCACAGAAAGTGGACATTAAGTGGACTAATGCTGAACAGCAATGGAAATTACAACATGGACATCATCAGAGCCCATCACAACTAATGAGATTACAGCAGATACCACAAGAATTCAGAGTGATTTGCTCTGTGCCCCAACATTTTGGTCAGTGCATCTGAGCCATGCTTTGCTCTACTCCTGCCCTCTGCTTGCAGACTTTGAAGAGTACAGACAGGGGAGGACCCCAGGAGCCTTTCATCCTATTCTGTATCTCTATCATACAACCCTTGTTTCTAATTTTATGTAAGCACAACAGCAATGGCAATGACTTCACAGCGAACCCCTGTAATGAATGAATCATCCTAATTTCAAGGCAAAGTTAGCACAACCATCCACTGTGTCATTTCCATAAATCACAGTGATAAAGGGCCATGCTTGTTGAGACACTGCTTATGCAAATGCAATACAGCAGTAATGAATGTAAGCAAAGTCCTACGGTGCCAGGACAAGGCAGGCTTGTGCCAAAACTCCTAGGAAGCGGCTGTGGCTTTGTTCAAAGGAATAAGTGATGGGCTGGGGCAGAGAGGCTCTCAGGAGCCTGAGACTATACTGTTCAGTTATTTCAAATCCAAGGTTATAGTCCTTGTTCTTTAGGGACATACTTCTGTAACAAATATTTCTGATTTATAAGCATCAAGGCCTCTCTCCTGGAAACTGTGATTGGGGAGGGCTTATTCCAAACCAGGATGATCCAGAGATCAGTTCTTTTGTGATGAGATGGCAGCATATTGGGAGCACAGCGTAAGGTGTTGGAAATGACCCACAATACCTTGAATTTCCTTCATTATTCTCCAAAGCCTAATCTACTTTAACACTTCACAAATCAGGGCTTTGCCGAGGAGGTATCTCTGTTTCCAAGCAGATCTCATTGTTACTGTGTCTGTGCCGATATTTGATACCTTGATGTTACCGTTCATATTCTCTAGAAGCCTATAAAAGATGTCTAGAGCCAAACAAAGGTTAGTGCTGTGGTGGTAGGTGATTTATGGGTAAAGTGTAAGAAAAGGCCCTGCCACAAACAGCCAGAAGGGCAAAATAGTTGGATGAGGGATAGGATAGCAGAGAAAGGCAGAATGACTTCCTCAAGGTCACATAAGTCACAGCACAAAGCTGAGAATAGGCTTGATGACTCACAGGGAGGTGCAGTATATATGTCCTGCGGATGCAGAAGTCTCTGATATCCTTGACAAATACACCATAAGACAAAGTTATTTCATGCTCTGGAATTCTCTGGCACCAAGTATCAAATAAAACAATGAATGTAACTCAATATGTGCCACCATAGGTTTTCTGTTCCCAATAGGTGCCAGGCACAATTGATTTTCGTTTACAGTTGTTTTCTTTGTTAGATGATGTCATGGGTTATTTATCTCTGAAAGCATTAAATGATACAAAGCACTTGATGAGTCACTGGGAAAAACAGTCTTCAAGTCTTCAAGTCTAGCTTGTGCAAGAAGAAAGGACCATAAATTCCCTAGCCCCAGTGTTTCCAAGTTTGAAAGCAATTACATTGTTCTCATACAGCGAATACAAGAATAGCTCTTCTACCATTCCCAAGTCATGCAATCAAGCAGGTAGTACTTCACTTCTTGCTGTTTCGATGCTTACCAGTGTCCCTCATTGCTCCAGAAATCGTAACCTAAATGCACATTGGACTGGTATTTGACTGTGCCTCAGTGGGCCGAGGCAGGAGCAGAGGTGCTGTTCAGTCTGCAGCTGAGCCAATGAAAGGCATAATTTTCCCTAGCACATGGCACTGTTGGAATGTTTGACCTACTAAGGTCTGCATTGTCATGGCACATGTTGGTACTCCCTAACACAGTTCTGCATTTTATTAGGCTCATGCCATCTCCTTTTACAGCCTCAAAACAAAGAAAGAATATGCCTCAAGCACACTGATAAAGGGCTTTTGAATGGAGACAGATGAATCACCTGCCATTTCACAATTAGCACTTTAATTTTGAACAGTAATTAGGGCGCTGGCGTTTGGAGAGTTTAGTTCTCATCGACCCACTTACATTGTTCAGAGAAGGCCTAAAGAGATGCTGAAGTTTGCAAATAAATCAATAGGAAAAATGAAAAGTCAGTACCAACTGCAGGCCATGAGCTGAATACTGGTGACCTGGGAAATGCTTCACAAAAAAAGACTTGCTTGCAAGAGCATGGGAAGAAATACAGGCACACTGAAGAAATATTTGGTTTTATGTGCGAGGCACAAGATAGGCTGCAGATGGGAATCTGCAGCCCAGCTTTGGTTCACCAAATAGTCACTATTACAGTTATCCTACTGAGCTCTAACGTTCTTTGAAAACAACATTATTCTTGTGCAAGAGGAAAAATGTTCCTTATTTTGAGGTGTAAACACAGTAACTAAAGCCAAAAGGCTGTAAAGAGGCTTGGATGTATATTCATTTTTAATGTACATTCATTATGAATATACTGATGAAATGAGATTTACTGGCTCTTCTTTACATAACGAAGTGGAGTGAAATCTGGAAATAAAACCAGACAGGTATCAGCACATCCCAGCCATAATATAAACAGGACTACTACTAAGCAGTAGCTACAGGTGAAGCAATAAATATATTTGTCCTAAAGAACTGGAGAAACTGAAAATACCTGCTGCTTTCCAGAAAGATAAAAGCCAAGAGAAGATAATTCCTCCTAAGCCACCAAAAGAAGAAATGAAATTATGAAGAAGACAGCTGAGAAATACACCTCCATCATGGCAACAGGACAGTGACCTTGATCATGCTCTGAGGAGCACCATTATAACAGCCAGAAGATAGCAAGGACATCCTTACGGCAGGAACATCTGAAGTAGGTTTTGGAATACAGATGGTATGTTAAGTTTTGCAGAGTGAATGGGAGTTTTAGGGAGCAAGGAGGACTTCACCAGGTCACACATACTGCAGCCTTTCTGGCATATAAATGAGGACTTTCCTCCTTAATGTGTCTGAGCATGCAGGAGGCAATATGCCTCACTCCCTCCCCTTTTTCTGTCCCATGGCACAGAAAAGGCAAGAGCTTAACCCCTGAGAATTTGCATTGGAGACCACTGCTGGAAAACACCCAGCAGACTGGATACTTGCACGAATGCAATTT